AATATAGCGATGGCCTCCAACCTAATATAGCGAAGGCCTCCGGCCTAGTATAGCGATGGCCTCCAACCTGATATAGCGATATCCTACAACCTGATATAGCGATGGCCTCCAACCTGATATAGCGATGGCCTCCAACCTAATAGAGCGATGGCCTCCAACCTATTAGAGCGATCGCCTCCAACCTAATAGAGCGATGGCCTCGAATCTAATAGAGCGATGGCCTCCAACCTAATATAGCGGTGGCCTCCAACCTAATAGAGCAATGGCCTCCAACCTAATAGAGCAATGGCCTCCAACCAAATAGAGCGATGGCTTCCCAGCCTAATATAGCGATAGCCTCCAACCTAATATGGCGATGGCCTCCAACCATATAGCGATGGCCTCCAACCTAATATAGCGATGGCCTCCGACCTAATATAGCGATGGCCTCCAACCTAACAAAGCGATGGCCTCCAACCTAATATGGCGATGGCCTCCAACCTAATAGAGCGATGGCCTCCAACCTAATATAGCGATGGCCTCCAACCTAATATAGCGATGGCCTCCAACCTAATAGAGCGAAGGCCTCCAACCCAATAGAGCGATGGCCTCCAACCTAATATACGATTGCCTCCAACCTAGCGATGGCCTCCAACCTAACTAATAGAGCGATGGCCTCCAACCTAAATGAGCGATGGCCTCTAACCTAATAGCGATGGCCTCCATCTAATTACTAACTTGATTTCGATCGGATCCACACCCATGTCGCCAGCCTCCACGATGGCCCGTGGCTCACGCGGTCCGCGCTTGGCGTCGGAGGCGGTGGCGCCGGCCTGGGCGGAGCACCGGTTCCATTGGGACTGGAAACAAACGCAAGCAAATTGCAACCTGAAAGAAACACACTTCATACGGGAAGCTTCAAAAACTCAAAGACCTCAGGCTCTAGTGGACGGGAACAAATCCCATTGGTTGGATCTAATTCCGAGACGTCCCCACGCTTGGTCCTGGTGGGCAGGAGTATAGGGGCTTGGGATCGAGGAAAAGTCGGAGCCTCAAAACCCATCAGGGTCTCGAAACGAGTGCACCCCAATCAATGTGAGACCGTCTGAATTCCAATTATTCCGTTTTGGACAGGATTGAATCAAAAAGAAGCAAAGCCTAGGCAAAGCCTCCACTCCCTCCATTGGACCCTTGCAAGGAGCCCCAAAAACTAAATCACGAACTTCTATTTCGCAACCAAGGCCTCTCTGTAGGAGGCGGCGCCCATGGTCACAGCCACTCGAGCACCTACAGCAAAACAACGCGGGATCGCTCTGGAAAGCCCGGGCGGTCCGGTGGAAACGCCCATTGGACCCACCGTGAACATCTCATTGGCCCCTTAAGACCTTCCTCAATATGTGCTTCATCGATGAGGTATCTGATGAGGTATCTAGGGTGTATTATATACAGCGTGTATATATATTACTATATAATATATATATATATATGTATATTGTGTCTCCATGTCTTTCAAAGAAACGATGGACCTTGTAATATATCCAACAACGCAACAAAAGACCAAAAGTTCCAGGTTCAACGCGCTCCGCGCCATGTCCGGGAGGGTTACCCAGTGAACACCTCAAAGAAAAGCAAAAGATTTGACTACATGGAGATTCATATACACATATATATTTTTTTTTTTTGGAAAAGCATTTAAGGCATCAGCCTGGCACCTTCCGAAGGGCCTGGCAACAATGAGCAAACATTTGGGATTGATCCACTGGCACTTGGCACCAAGGTTTCACGTTCTCCCTACACCCTGGAACCCCGATTCGACACATTAGTCACCGGTCACAGGTATACCACTAGGTATACCATCTTTCCCCATCCCTATTCACTCAATCCCTCACCTACCCACTTCATCCCACTTTCACCGTCCGGCCTCTCTTGGTGGCCTTTTGGGAGAGCTTGGCCGAGTGCTCCTGGAGAGCTCTCCGTCATCCGCGCTGCGCTGGGTGCGCGAGACGATTCTTGGGGCGTGTTGCGTGGAGGGAGACCCTCTGGGAGACCCCCTGGCTGGTCATGACTGGTCTATTGTGATACCAAATGGATGACAATAGAGTCCATCCACGGTGCCGAAAGTCAATGTCCCTCCGTAGAAACTCATGTATATAGAAACCTACGGAAACCCCTTATGGGGGGCAACGGATATTGCAAGTTCTGTGTGCTGCATGGGCATTAGTTGTCATTAATTAAGTGAAAGGCTCCATCTTACGACCAATTGCCACATTGCCACAATTCAACTTGTATACAAATGTCCCACATGTCCCACTGCAAACTCTCGTTCGGCAGACTTGAGATCATGGTAACCTGGTAGGAACCCATCTTTTCCATCCCAACTTGACCCCAACGAACGAACGTTTCCTGCGCCCCAGGAACTCGCTGTCCTTCAACTCGTGCATCCACAACTCATCTTCGTTGCCAAAGGCCACGAGCCGATACGCTTCACGTCGGCAGTTCTCGTGCCTGCAGACGTAGTGCTCTTCCTGCCGACGTGACGGAGGGAGAGACCACGGACAGAGAGATCGTCTGTGGCATCGGTCAACACTCTCATGGAATGTTAGTAGTCGGTGGTCTATACTGACTCTCAGACCTCAACTTGTCCAAGCTATAGGTCCCAGGTGTAGGCAGTGAAAGCCTAGATTGCGTGAATATATATATATATTGGGTTAAATTGATCTCAGGGGGATTGGGCGCCCCACACCTTATGTACCCTCTGGAAGAATTAACTCCTGTTTGAATTGCTTCTGCTTTGCCTCAACAATAATGAAACAACACCACACTCTGTGCTTTCCTCCTTGGTTTGTAGCAGCTGTAAAGAATGTTTGTATATAAATATATATATATATATATCTATCTATCTATCTATTGCACTCACATCGCTCTTTTGTCGGCCAGCAAACTGTTGGTTTTCCATGTCTGTGTCTCTGCATGAACAGACATGCCAAGTAGAACATTAGCTTATATTATAGGCTTTGTTTCATGTCCATATGGGCTGCGCCTCAAAAGGGCATTTCATTTGCTATAGGGTCTTTTCCACGCTTCCAGCTATATTGGCAGGCTGGTCATATCTCTCTTTGCAGCTATGTTGGCAAGCTGGTTGTAGCAAAAAAGCACGACTAAGTCAGCTCTTTCCACGACGCCAGGACTGGGCCCCTTGAAGGTCAGGTGGGTAGTGAAGAATAACTGCTGGGTGTGGCGGGACAGGGTCAGTTTAGTCAATTGAAAGTCCTTCTTGAATGTATTGTCTTGCGGCGGCCCATCTGCCTTTGAGCAAGCTTCGCTCCATGAGGCCATGAACTCGAAAATCCTCCGTGGCTCCCCCTCTCCGAAGGGAGTACGGACGAAAAGTGTCCCGCAACTTAGAAAAATTCGTAAGGCGTTTGAACTCCGCGCGAAAAACAGCCTTGGAAGCGGCCACACGTTGTCACCTGAGGAATGAGGGAAACCGAGTAAAGTCTCGCCGATCAAGACAGTGGGTCCACGTTGAATAACGGCGTTCCGATCCACTTGGCGTCGGATGCCAGTTTTAGTTTCACCCAGCCTAACAATCATGCACTGGTCCCGGATTAACAAATGTCGGAAACGCAGTGCAAAAATCTCTCCTGTGCGAAGCATTCCCCAGAAACCTAAACATAAACAACAGGCAAGGTGCAGATGCTCAACTTCAACACATCGGCCTACTAGGGCCGCCGCAAGTTCTAACGGAAAAGGGAGAGCTTGTCTAGGGCGTTCCAGCCCCCCAACGTCCATAAAGTTTCCATGCCCCGCGAATCTTACCTCGGCTCCATGGCGTGAAATGATGCAGGCCCGACAAAGCGTCAGCCACGCTAGTAATGGAGGATCCACGAACATATATTCCTGATCAGTCCATTTCTCCAAGGCTGGCAGCACTGCCACGACGGCCGCAAAATATCGAATTCTTTCATGAAACGACAGGCCCTTTCGTTTTCTTTGTCTTAGCCTTCGCAGAGCCTCAGGGGCGAGACACCTCATCCGTGGGATTGTCAGCCGAGTCTACGCGCGCTAAGTAGAGCAGGCAAGGCGTTAATCTTCTTGGTGATGTAGCGGGGTTGTGGCTTCCCGTTCTCCCTTTGGAGAGGATGGACAAACTAACGTATGAGTCACTGAGATGAAACAGCCGCCGGTTTGCATTAATAATGTGCTCAGAAATGGCCCATCGGGTACTAAATATGTTCTCCCAGTGCCACCTGCCCGACTGGACGGATTGATGGGGAAACGTCCTTGGATTCAACACTTGTCCTGCGCAC